TTAAATTTAAATTTTTAGATAAAACTCCGTGAAAAAAGCATATGGAAAGCATTGTTAAACCAAATCTGCTGGTTCTTCGCATTTCCAACTCACCTGAAAAGCGTAAAGTCAAAATTAAGAGTGAGAAATGATTTTATTGTTACATATTAATGGTACATTTAATATTTTTGAATATTTTTTTCGCTTATAGAAAGGTACTCTACAATTTCTTATATTTTTGTTGGATTTGCTTCTAGGTCTTTCCTAAATTAGAGAAACTGTCATTAACAAGGGATGACGTCGCAATGATATTTGACGACCAATTTCCAAGGGACCTCTTTTGCAATGTTAAAGTCCTTCATCTTCTTACTTATAAAGATAAATCACTTTTGCTTTCAATTCGCTTCCTTCAATGTTTCCGCAAGCTGGAAAAGCTTCATGTAGCTGATGGTGATTTGGAGGAGTTATTCCCTTCTGAAGGAGACGCTGATGGTCAGGAGAACTGTGTGGGAACACAGTTACATATTAGAGAGTTGAATTTGGAATTTTATGATAATTTGAGGCATATATGTAACCAAGACTCAAGAGGAGCTGACCTAATTCTTCAAAATCTTAAAATTCTGAAAGTGAACTTCTGTTCTTGCTTGGTTAGCTTAACAGCATCTACAGTACCTTTCCACAATCTCACCACTTTGGATGTAAGGCATTGCGAAGGGTTAAGAAACTTGGTTTCATGCTCAACAGCTCAAAGCCTGGTTCAACTTGAAACAATGAGCATAGCATATTGCAACTCGCTGACTGAAGTAGTTGGAGACGAAAGAGATGGCTTAGAAGATGAGATCATTTTTATGAAATTGAAAGTTTTGAAACTCATGCAGTTAACAAAGCTCACAAGCTTCTGTTCAAGACTTAATTTCGCCTTCAAGTTCCCATGTTTAGAACGCTTGGTTGTGAGTACATGTCCCAACATGGAGACCTTCTGTAAGGGAGGCCTAAAGACTCCAATGCTGCAGAGAATATCACTGAATGACTACAATGAGTACGATGAGAGGCGTCTGGTGGGTGAATTGAATAGCACCATAAATCAATTGTATGAAGAAATGGTATGGATTCAACTATAAAATTAGAAATGCTTTTATCTTGCAAGCCCTTTATTAATTATATCATCAAATGCAAATTGAAAGTTATTAGTTCTTTTTTTTTTTAGTTGTACTTTTGTGCTATAACTAGAAATGTTTAACATTGAAGGTTGCATATGCTGAGTTAAGCCGTTTGAAATCCTCGGAGCTTCCTAAATTGATGGAAATATGGAACAAGAACCCTCAAGATATATTGGATTTCCAACGGATTTTTTCTCTGGAAATTTGTAACTGGGATAGTTTAAGATACCTCTTCACTCCATCCATGGTGTTGAGTCTTTCTGGTCTCTGGGAAATCAGGGTACAAAACTGTGAAATGTTGGAGCAAATCATCACAGAAGAGGAAGTTATAGAGGTACCAGGAAATAAAATGATATTCCCCGAACTGAGAACCCTTGCTCTGAAGTCTTGTCCCAACTTGGTAAGTTTTGTTGAGGGAAGTTATAAACTTGAGTTTCCATCATTGTTTTCTATCGACATGGATAATTGTCCAAAGATGGTATCATTTTCAACATTTTCAATAATGCGAGAGAAAGAGACAACTGTTGGAGGAAGTGAAGAAAGGCTTAGTATCCCTACTGAACCATTTTTCAGCGATCAGGTCAGCCTTTTTGTGAAGAATTTTTCTTTTTACAATTTTTTCTGGATTCTTGTTGCACTTTCATTAGTAGTTGCAACTTGGATTGTTGTACTTTTTTTACCTGCATAAATATAAATACTATATATGTAGAAAATAGTGCATATCATTATTGATTTTGAGAAAAAATTGGAATCCCATTTTAAATAATGTCATTTTATTTAATTCAAATTTAATTCAAAATTTAAAAATTCACCTTATTAATTAATATTTTATAAGGTAAATTTTTGAATTTTTAAAGAAGATATCAACATTTATAAGGTGTTAGGACTCTAATTTTTTTAAGAGTTGGAACTGATATGCACTATTCTCATATATATATTAGGACAGTAATTGGTACATATTTTGGTTCAACACACTACATAATACACTTATTAAAAAATTATTATTTTTTAATTTAAAATTAAAAGCAGACAGATTTAAATATATAATCATACATATAAAATGCATAAACCAATTGAATTGATTATATTTATATTATATTTTTAATGGTTGAACAAAAAATGTGTTAGAAAATGTATTGAACCAATGATGTATAAATCATTTTCCTATATATTATTGGTGTTTATCAAAGAGGTCTTCAAAAATTAGAAGGAAAAGCACTTTAAAACTATGTTGTTTTAATAAAACATTATGGAAAAGTACTAAAACACTCCCATTCATATATAGAAAAGTGTTTATTAGCCGGACCTCTAAAAAATTAGGAAAAGTGTTCCAAAATTATGTTAGTTTAATAAACTCTCATTTAAAAAAAAGATTAAAATAACTTATTTTTTAAACAAAAATGGGAGTGTTTTGGTTTTCTTTCATGACACTTTATTAAAATAATATAATTTTAAAGTATTTTTTCTTCTAATTTTTTAAAGATCTAGCTGATAAATTCACATATATATGTGGAAGAAAATCAATCCAAAACTAACTTTGTTTCAATAAAATCTCATTAAAAAAAAAAAACCTTATTTTTAAAGTAAGAATTAAACTGTTCTTTGTCTTTCCCTCTTAAATTTTAGGAGGTAATTAATGTGGATAAGCACTAAACTCTATATAGATTAAAATATGATGTCTTTGGAGATATTCTATGGGAAGACGTCTACCAAATACTTTTTCCTAATTCCATTAGGTTAATGTTGTTGTCAATATTCTCATGCATTCCCCATAAACTGATCTCTTTGTCCTCGGAGACATCACTCCATAGAAAAGAAGGAATACAAGTAAATTTCTTAAGCCCATTTTTACTCACAATGCTTCTAGAGATCAACAAGAGATTGATGGCACATCTCCTCTTATAAGTAAAATTACGTAGATTTCAATGAACAAATCTATTGAGCTTTTCTAGCCTCAACAAAACAAAGTTGGACCATAGGCCCCCTCAAATAGCATTTGTAAAAATACATGAATTTTGGGTAGAGGCATTTCCTTGCAAAGACATTTTTGTCTAAATCATCAGCATGTGTAGGCATATAATAATTTGAAATCATTTTTCAGGAATAACTTGATTTAGAATCAATGTCATACATATTGTTTTGTTTTCCTTTTTTAAATTATAAAATGTCTGTACTTTGCAGGTTGAGTTTGCCAACCCTCTTTTTCTGACACTGTCCTCAATGAACGTGCAACAAATATTCCAGAAACTACTTTCAACAATGCCTTCTGTTGTTCGAAGTCTAGAAGGCTTGACTCTTAAAGGATGTACTAATTTGAAATATCTATTAACAACCTCAATGATTAAAAGTTTTGTGCAACTCCAAACTCTTACAATTTGTGATTGTAAGATGATGAATGAGGTAATAGTAACAGAAGGATTAGTAGAAGAAGAAAGGATGTTGTTCCCAAAACTTGAATCCGTACAGCTTGAAAGCCTTCCCAAACTCAAAAGATTTAGCTCTGGATATTACTTAGCGTTTCCATCCCTGACAAAACTTGTTGTCGAGAAGTGCCCTCTGTTGGAGTCGTTCATCTCCAGTTCTATTACTACCAATCAGAAAGCCAATGAAAGAGTAGAGGAAAACAATTTGGAGGATTACGTCCACACTTATACACCACCTCTCTTCAGTACAAAGGTAATTTACTCTTTTAGTTTTCGCCTTGTTCATTTCTTTTAATAAACTTGGTATAATTATTTAACATTTCCAAAGGCTTTTCTCTTTTTTCATTTTTTTTTTATCCCCAACATTCCATAATCTTTTGTTTTGGAGTAAGTGCATCATTAGTCCTACATATAGCTGTTAATTAGTAAAGTAATTTGTAAGTAACTCATAAGTTACTTGAGTTAAGTTCGATTTGAGTTCGGCTTGTTTGGTTTCAA